TCAAAATTCATATTTATAATTCTTGCTATCGTCCCAAGCATGTAGTCATACCATGAAGAAAATTTAAAAAAAAATCTTTAGGTATCATATCTGAAAATAACAGATTTTCTACGGACATTGAGCATGGGAAATAAAAGAGTCGGGAAGGAAATTCCATATCTCAATCTCTTATCGGATTTTCAAACTTCCTAATATACATCGAATATATATAGATAGAATATCGATTCACGAAATAAGAAAAATATTTTAGAAGCTTTCCGAACCCGCCAAGTTTGACTTATGGATTCTGAGGATCCGATTGAAGATATATTAGGTTTCCAAGCCTATATTGGGACTTTATAAGATCATCCAATATCTTTACGAAGTAATATTTTTATTATATTATTCGAATTCAAGAGGGACCTCATCCAAAATCATGGGCATGCATATCTGGATGCAATACGCACTTTTTGTAATGCAAAGCAATCAGTAAGAATTCGAGCTCAAGTGATCTATCTTTATGACCAGAAATATCTTGCTGTCAGAGAGAAAATACATGGCAGGGGGGTGGAATTGTGCAATATAAATTTCATATGGATGGATATGAGAAAGATATTTTTTCTAGGATATGCTTCATCCATCTGATAAGGTAATAGGTAGCGAATGGGTCATGCCCATATGCGAAGTTATGTATAAGGAGAATATCTGCAATAGTCTTAGATTTCCGGAATTTCAATTAATATGAGGCTTATCGGAATATCTCTCTATGAGAGCCTCAATTTTTTTGATATATTTATTATATGGAATTCACGATATGATCTATATTTCAGTGCAATGAGTGATATGATTCAGGAGTTTTATGAATAAGATGAGAAGATATAGAGATTCATTTCCTTTATGAATCCAGGAGGTGGAAGATATCGTATGATATCTATGCTCCCCTATAATATTCAGGCTCGAGCTTAAGATGCCAAATTGGTTTGGAATAACAATATTCAAAAACCGGGAAGTTTGGTTCCCCCAGAGTGTAGGGTTGATATATATAAGAGTTAGATATATGTTGTTTCGAAAATTCCATAAATAGTGTAGCTCTCATAATTAAATGAAATATAGTATCCTTATATATAAAAAAAATGATACTAATTTATCATATGTGGCGGTATGCTGAGACCATGTCTTCAGGATTCAGTGCGGTCATAGTGAAAATTCTTATATTTCGGATATATATATATATATATTCTTAATTATTATTTGGTATTAGTATGGTGAGATCGGTTCATGCTTTCAAATGAATGCTGTAAAAATACTTGCGAGGAAAAAGATTTATTATAAAATATGGAGTAATCGAAAGAGGTTCAGCATAATTTGGCTTGGAGATGAGTGCAATTACAAATATTTCGTTATTTTTCTATTTCCGGAATATTTTTTGTTAGGGAACACCAGAAAATATTATAAATATGGCATTTCCAGGGCGTTCCACCCTCTAAATAAAATTATATGAGGTCTCTGTCGGTGATTCTAAATATAGCGACTCTTTATTGAGAGGTATATTGAGTTGCTAGAAATTTTTATGGCCATTTTAAATATGATATTATTGTGGAAATTCTAAATTATTATAATTCGAAAATAAGAAAATATTATTTGATTGAATGATGTCGGTCGTATATATTATATGATTTTTATATATCATCTCTGATTTGATTTCTGGACTTATTGATTTTTCATATGGAGATATTAATCGAATATTATGAGAATAATAAAGTATTATCGGATTAGAAATTTTTTTGAATTTCTGATATTACCGGAATCGCTTGAAATTCAGAATTTCATTGCTTTTTTTGGAGTTTCTGAAAAAAGTTTTTTCTAATCGAGGATAATTGAATTATAGTATTTTCTGATCGAGGTATGAGCTTTCTATATCTTAAGATTTCTAGTAAATATTTTAATTATTAATTTGAATAGATTCTTCTTAATTTCGAAATCGTCATATATCTTCCCGAGTTCTCATAATTTATTGGAGTCGAATTAATTATCATAGATATGATGTCTGAATAGATATCGAATCCTTAATTCGATATAAGGAAATATAAGATGTGGGAAAGGCGTTTTATGATATAAGGAATGCCGTGAAGTGGAGGGCGAGGGTATGGTGAGGTGCCTCTATCGAGTGTAGGCGAGGTCGATATAGTGGGTCGTGGGTCAGTGGATCAGAGCGTATCGTAGAATAATGGGCGCGAAATAATTAGAAGCTTTGACTAAAATTTTCTATTCAAAAGATTTATATAATAATTTTAAATAGATTTATATTATTGAATTCGATAAATGATTTTTTTAATAAGAAAAATTCAAATTCAAATAAGAAAATAAAATATTCAATTAAGATTTTATTATTTTTCAAAGAAATATAATTATCGATTCGAATATAATATGATATGAAAATAATGAATAAAATATATTAAGAATGAAATTTAGATTTAAGAATCTAAATCTCAGATAGATGATTTATTCTTTTTATTATATGAGATTTTGGAGATCGGGCTCGATTTTATATATTGCTTGAAAATATAAAGAAAAAGAAATATTATCATGGTATAAAAATTAAAAATCTATGAAAATAATTTATAATAATCTAAAACCAATTAAACATTCAAAAATATAGCTTTAGGTTTTAAATTCAATTCGATATTTAAGAAAAAATATCTAAATAATACCAATCCTCTCCGATACCTATCTTCAGTAGATCAGGGCACGAGCAACTAATATTATCGTATTAAATTATAATGCTTTTAGTTTCATATAATCTAAAATTTTATTGATTAAAATCTCATTAATATCACAGTCATGTCAGAGATCATAATCAATTCAATTCTTTTTATATATCAGAAAGAATATCGATCATAATCTATATCATCTATTATCATATTCCCCATGAATTATATATGCTCATTTATTATATCAAGATATATCATTTATTTCTTGATTCGATATATTATCTATCTCATAATAAATATCTATCAACGACCTTATCTTCCAATTTATTTTCGACCAATATAGCACGATCCTCCCCCAGAATCACCCTCGTCCATCATATTCTCTCCCGCCGCCACACGACACCATCCCTAAAACTACGCCGGCATCATGCCGCCGCATCGTACCATGTAAATTCGTACGACACTCCCCACGACCTAAAACCCTCCTCGTCCCGGTCATTCCCCCTCATAGATCCCCACTCCATGACACTCCCCTCACACCCTAACCTGTCCACCACTGCACGACACGCCCCATCCCCAATAATCCCCGCTCTCCGAGACACTCACACAATACCTGTAACACATATACGCACCCACCCTCGCCCACCACTCCGTGACACTCCTCGCCCTCCATCCCGCCACTCCACGATATGCCCCACGAATATATGCCGCATTCCCCCGAACACGATCCACCCTCGCCCGCCACTCCCGAAACGCACACATTCGCCCGCCACCCCGCGACACTCCCCAATTCATATGCCCTCACCTGACACTCGGCGACAATCCCCTCGGTCCTCACCCGCCGCCACTTCACGACACTCCCCACCATATGCAAGATTCGCCCAGCCATTCCATGTCACGCCCGCCTATCTACAACTCTCCCCTCAAACTTGCACGACACTCCCCGCGACACTAATGCCTCGCCCCACTCCCCGTCACTCCCTCCGCCGCTCATTGATACATAATTCGTAGAAAAGTGCCTCAGATTTCATCAAAATTTGATAGAAATATTAGGGCATGAGAATTCATCGCCTCTCACTCTGATATCTATGCTCCCTACAACCACGTTCAGGCTTGTTGGTTTTTGTTGAGTTTCAATCATGTGTTGTCTAATCAGAGTATTCCTCCGATGATAATCATATATAATGATAATTAAATTGATGTTCAAACATATTTCTAAATTCCCTCCCGAAGCCCCAACTCCCATTGTGGGGCGGTCAACATGCCTTCTTCCACCATTATTTGCACTCGGGGCGCAAGATTTTTTGCAATTCATAATTATTGGCATCATTTTAGCCCTCGAGATACTCAACATCTGCAGTGTCCCGGCAATACAAGTATTTAAACTCCCAATACCAAGATATAAGAAAACCATCTAGCAAGCGCAGATTTTTTGCAATACCCGTGTCTCGTTGAGGAAAGGAGAAACCAGAACCCTGCTTGCCAGCCTCTCCGAAATATGCGGTTCATGCGTAATAATGGGGATAGTGTTTGAGTCATGTCCGTAGCTGGAGAGGCACGAGCAAGCGCATGTTCGACCTGGGTTGCCTATGAAAGGACACCAGGAGGCAGCATACTTTGGCTCACTGGTAGCATCGGAACGAACTTGCATGGATGCAATACCTCCAAGGCGTCCTTTGTGCGCGTATCTCAAGGAGACTAATTATTAGACTTTCGCCTCTTGGAGGCTGTGTTCAAATCAGCTAAGACTCAAAGCCATCCTCCAGGGTGCAAGAAGGGACGAGGATTTGCGAAGAGCTACGTGTGAAAGGGCTCCTTGCGATTCCCTTGAGGATTTGTTTGTCAGCTCAAGCTCCCAGGAATTCTCCGATCAGCCGAGGTACGGGGTTCCATCGGCCGGCAGGTAGCAATAAAAACTGTTAGCTCGGCACTAGCCACGACTGATACTGAACAACATGTGCGTCCAGGGAGCCTGCAAGCACGCTTGTGCTGGGTACTCTTGGACCACACTGACAGATTCGGCATGCACCTAAAACGTTTAGCTGGCCTTGCCCGACTTTGAGGGCCGTGGGCAGGGGAAGCCCATCTAGGCGGAAGAGTGTCACATGGCAGCACGAGGCTGTTGGCAAATGTACTGAAAAACAAACAAATAGAAGGTGAGACTGCTGCGGCTGTACCCTGACAATCCGACCGGCCTCACAAGAAAGAGACGTCAAGGATCTGTTCCGACTTTCCCCACACCCGAAAATCCGGACATGTTCTTGCTGTCCGGTCTTGCGGTAGGCACAAGCTGGGCGCCACGCCATGAGTTTATCCTCTTGCCAAAAAGCTGAGCCTGCACGACTGCGGAGCAAATCGATTGTTTCGGTATTTTAACTCGCTCTTGACACACGCGGAGCTTTGTGGAAAATAGTCTACCGCTTGAGTGCGAGGTCCGTCTTGACAAGACGGACTGTACCTATGACACTGGCAGCGGCTGCCTATATCCCCTGAAATATCGAACATTTTTGCCCCCGGCGGCCTGGCAGAAGTCCGCTGTGACCTGAACACTGTCACAATAGTGTCACAGTTCCACCCGGTCTGCTCGGCCAAGCTCTACACTACACTCTACACAGCTCCCATGCTCTGTGGTGAACCGTGGATGGCGTTTGAAGCGAATCACAGGCACCGCCTGCCTGCTCCTGAACGGCGAACATCCTCCAGGTTCAGCTTCGTCCGATTTACCAAATCTGAGCAGCCGCTGTGTTGCCTCGCCGGAACGTTCGTGCTTTCTTCGAACGCATGTGAGCCAACTACCGTGGAACAAACCATGAGCAAGCGAAAGCACAAACAGTCTTGCAGGCGGCATTGCTCATGTCATGTCGCCTTGTCTATTTCTTTCATGTCCAAATTGCTCACAATCTTGACCTGCGCATCCTGTGAACTGACCTGAAGAGCACAGGAAACATGCCGCCCTGTGTATTTGGTGCATTGTCGCTGAAGACCCGAGGTAGCAGCCCTACATAGTACGTAGTTGATGTCTGGTCGAGGCTCCAGGATCGCCGACACCTGCGGAACACCCACTCTTTCAAGACTCGCAACGACTTGATTCAGATTCCAATTTCGAGAGTGCGTTGTACGATCGGCGTCGTATTCACACAGTCCTTGAGCATGAGCAATTCTATGCCAACTACAACTGTTTCATGAACAGGCACCTGCATCTCTTTCAAGACATCGATCCGAACCTTGGCATGCACAGCACTGCCAGCACACCCTGCAGATCGAAAATCCCTGCCATGACAAGACTAGCTGGGTGTGCCCGGCACTCGAGTAAGATCCTGGCTAAGATTGTCTTATCACAATCTTCTTGGTTTTTTGACCTGCTCTCCGAAACAAGCTTGTATGGCCGACAAAGCAACTAGCAGTATGGGTTGCTGAGACACGGCAGTCTTGGAAGGACGAGAAAGTCTTCGCGCTAGGCAGAGTGGCTACTCCAGCACCGATACAACATGCAGAGGACGACCGTGCTAAAACCAAGTTCTGCTTTTCTTTGCCAAAGTCGCAATGGCCACAGAGACCGTGCTTGTCGGAAGATCTCGGCCATGACGATCAGGGCACCTGCCGGATCCTGCAACCGGATAATTACTCAATCTCCCGTGGTCACCACCAGCAATCCGAAGACCTGCTGCTTTCTGCATTTCGATGTTTGTCCTGCTTGCCAGCTTTCTGCATCAGCGCCGGTGCATAGTACACCTGAGTATTACTCGGAGTGGCTGGAAGCTCTTGGTATCACGCTGCTTGGGAGGTTGGCTGGTGGTTCATGATCGACCCCTGATGCTTCCTGAGATGATGGCCAAGATTGCCGGACCCCCGGCATCCTGCAAGCAGGAATCAAGCATGTATGGCCCGAAGACTTATGCTCGAGTCACATCGTCACCAACCGTTCAGAATTGCAGCAGCTTTCGCAGAAGTTCGCAGTGTCCTTGTAGCTGTCCCGCTTGAACTTCTGGTTGAGGCACCCTGTGATAGCCAATTCCTCAATTTGCCCGCGCAACGTTCCAAGCTATAACCGACACAGTCCTGAACCCCTCGTGCACCTGTGAAAGGGTGCATAGCTGGGCGGTCCCGCCTGGCTCAACACCTGCTGATCTGCCTTCTTCAGTCGGCTGAACTGCCTCGAAAGGCCGTGAATGCAGTAAGAAAGGTCAGCACACGACATGACCCTACTTGCCTCAGAACTTCTTGGTTGTCACCTTGTGCCATGAGGACCTGGAAGGCGGTGCCACAAGAGCCAGCGGCCCGGAGTTTCGACATGAGCAGAGCTCCCTGGCTCCCTGATCTGCCATCCAAGTCACCAGTCGCATTTTGGCAATGGCGCCAGAGCCCGTAGGGGCAGGGCCGAGGCGCTGCTCCATGTTGCCCCACCGCCAGACCAAGTACTCCTCACCGGACTTGGCTGAGGAAGTTCTCACGCAGTGCGTCAAAAGTCCTCAAACACTTCAGTCTCAGTCTTGGGGCCCAGATTCCACACCTGGGGTCCATATGGAGCCAGGCGATGCATGTCCTCACTACTGTCTGTCGATTCTCTCACAAACACGTCTTGCAGATTCCTTTTCTAAGCTCGAAACGTACTGGCTGGTATGTGGCGCAGATTTTTTCTGCCTAAAGGCATCCTCTACGGGACACATTTGAGCATGCCTGTCACGGCATGGACTGTACAGAACAAAGCTGGCTTCACAACGCAGCCATTATCGTCAAGGAGTTGCTCACAGCCTTGACTTTCGCTCATGCTCAGTAACCAAAACGCCCCCATCTTCTGACGAACTCCGGCTGCTGATATTTCGAGGGCGCACGGGTCTTTCTGCAAGTCGCAGGGAGGTGCTGCCGTCCTTCTCGTGGCCGTCCGATCGTCGTCGGTAAACCACCTTTACCGTTTCGCCGATCTGTCTCTGGTCCAGGGCCTCGAAAATGTCATCCAGGTTGCTGACTTTCTTCCCATCAATCGACAGGATCTCGTCACCCAGCTGTATGCCTCGCATAGTTTGAATAGAAGGTCGGAGACCCGCCTGATCTGCAGGGCCTTCAGGCTCTAGACCCATGATAAGGGCTCCCTCGATCGGGCGCATTTGCTGACGATACAGCAATCGCGAAAGCTGTTGTTTAATGTGGTCTTGGGCCATGTACAAGCCCAAGTATGGCTGCTTAGCAAATCCATATTTGATGATCTGATCCACAATCCGGGTTACAGTATCCACGGGGATTGCAAAGCCCACTCCGGCAAAGGCCCCGGAAGGGCTTGCAATCATGGTGTTCACACCAATGAGGCGGCCTCTGGCGTCAAGCAGTGGGCCTCCGCTGTTACCCGGGTTAATGGCGGCATCCGTCTGCACAAGCCCACGCAACATGCGCCCCGAGATGCCACCTCGACACGACGTCAGGAAAGGACACGATGAACGCTAGGACTCTCTGCCTCTTGCAACTCAAAAAGAGAAAGAGAGGAAGAGAGAGGGAGAGAGAGAGAGAGACAGCGCAAAAAAAATAAAATGCAAACAAGGCTGACTGATGATGCTGTCTTGCCACGCATCTCCCGACCGAGACCACTCACAATGCCACTGGTCAGTGTCTGGTCCAATCCAAACGGGTTGCCGATCGCAAAAACCTTTTGACCCACCTGAAGGCGGCTGGAGGAGCCTTTGTCGAGGGCTTTGATTTCAAGCTCATCCGGCTTCTCAAACCGCAGCACCGCCAAGTCAAAGTCTGGCTCATGTCCGACCAAGAATGCTTGACGAGATGTGTGATCAGCAAAGACGATCATTGCTTTGTCGGCATCTTTGATGACATGGTAGTTTGTCACGATGTGCTTCGAATCCCACATAAATCCGCTTCCAGTTCCCTGCGGGATGTCTTGCATGTCTACGTGCGCCATGCCGAAAGCGCCTCGAAGAAGGGTTTTTTCCTTCACAAAAGTACTGATGTGCACTACAGAACCACTACAGCGTTCGAAGAGTGCAACGGTTCTCTGCTCGTCCCCGGACAGCTCGTGGCTTCGATCATCGGCCTTCACGGCCTTCACCTCGCTCTCGCTTGCCGTAGCGGCCGTCAAGGCTGCGACCGACGCCAGCGCAATGCCCAGCTGTTTCCTGGTGCCGAACTTGAACTTGTCCTGACCGGAAGAAGGCCCATTGAGCATCTTGGCACTTGTCGAGAAAGGAGAAATCCTGCCCCGGCTCAAGGCACCTAACCTGGAGGATGCTGACGAGCTGGCGCCAATTGCGTCTGGGATCACGGAACGTGCAGCAGGTCGGAACGAGCTGATGGCACTTCTGCCCACTCCTGTCACTGCCCTGCGGGCAACGTGCAGGCAATGATGCATTCGATTCGTCCTATCGGGACTTCCAAGCCAATACTCTTGAAGAGCACAAAGCTTGTCGCGATCAACATGACATCCCTTGCTATTCCTGTGGCCGCACCGTTTCAGACAACCCAGATCAAAATAAAAGCTCACGCCTTGAATCCTAACCTGCCTCTTCTTGCATTTCACCGGGGCTGGTGCGACAGCAAAGGAATCGATGAAGCTGCCGAGAACTTGCTGAGGGAACTTCAGCACAAACTTTTCGCAGCCTTTCCAGCGACACTCGGTAGCACGGAGCCTAGCTCAATGCAACCAGCATATGTGCATGCCATGCCTTGCAGTGGAGAAGCTTCTGCTCCAGCCAAATCCGCGAACCTTGAAATGGCCAGTCTGAAACTCTAGCGAATCTTGCAAGTGCTGGCCAAGCACGAAAGTCGCACATAAGTCGCATCAAGGAAGGGACCAGTGAACGAAATAAAAGGCGATGTTACTGGCCTCGCCAGCAGCAGATTGAGATGTGGCACGTGAGAACAAACACTTCCATCGGTCAGTCGACGTAAACAGGAAATTGAACGAAATTATCCGCCGTATTCATCCTGAGGTGCTAGCTGACTTTTGGTCGGAAGCAGCTCCTGCTAGGACAACCTTTCGGAAGGCCTTGAACAAAGCCTGGCGTCCAAGCGCGCTGCTGAAGCATGGAAGCAAGCACCTATCCGGCCCTCGAACTTTCCCTATTGGGGCCGCCACTCCAGGAGGAGCCTCTGCTTGCACAAGCCAACCTCAGGAGTTTGGCAGCCGGAATCCGCGGCAAGCAAGCGGTGGGTTTGCCAAGGTCCGTGCCCATGTTGTAGTCCAACTTGCAGTGCGTGAACCTCAGCCACACACAGTGGCACTGAGGTGCTGCTATAGAGCCGGCTAAAGCATTGCGAGCCATCCTTCTTTGGCATGATAAGTCGCTAGCGGCCGGCCCTGGTCCAGATCCGGCCCGTTTTGTACTATGTGTTTGGGCTTGCGGCCTACCTGTTTGGATCCAACCTCGAGCTGCCAAGCAGCTTGATGCTCTCCTGCATTTCGGTGGAAAGCCCGGCAAAGGACGGCAAGGCTTGAGGGCACCTCTCCAGCACCTTGTAGGAGGGCGCAGCGGGAATGCAACTTCAATGGCTGTCAAGCTGCGAAGCCGTCTCGGGCCCTTCGGGCTCAGGAGCTGGCATAGCTTAAAGCTACGTCGTGGTCTCCGATAGGCTCGCCGTTTTTGTAGCCAGCGAACCTGAATCTTCAAGAAAGCCAGGAGGCATGCAGCACTATCAACCGAAAGCCTCAAGGATAGCCATTCAGTCCTTGCCAAAGGCACTTCATCGCCTTTTTGAAATCTGAGCAAACGGCTCTCCCACTCCAACAATCGGGCGGAGAATGTCAAGCTTCATGACATCGTGCACGGTCATAAGGACTAGCCTTGGACGAACCATGTGTATGATTCATTGCAGCGCAGTTGCAGATCTCGGTTTTCCGAACATGAGTTAGGATAGCCAAGAGGCATTGCGAGTGTTCTCTCGACATCGTGTGGGCCACCAGCCTGCGTGCGACACGATGTTACATCTGCACACGGACGCAGGATGCGATTATGTGTCTCCGAGCTTGCAGTTCAACATAGTTCAATAGAGCTCCACGAGAAGAAGAGGAGCGGGCATCATAAGAATCATAACCGTAGTCTCAGACTCGCATGTGTTACATGTATCAATCCTGCAACAGTTATTCGTGCTTTTCCGGAGTCTGAACTCCAAGGTAGATGGCGCAGCAGAAGTTCTCCAAGCACTTGCTCCAGGAGGATCCGAGTCCACCCGTTTTTTCCCAAAGCCAACTGCTAGACCTTTAACTTCAAGTGTGCACAGCAACAAACGTAGCTATGCTTTCAAGCGCCAGCTAACAACTGCAGGACAGAACCGCGCCTTCTTGAGCAAGCCGGCTCCGACCTCAACATCTACGAGCGCACATCTTCCACTTTCAGATCGTGGGATGTGGGAAGTGAGTGCCGGACAAAGAGGGTCTCAATGGCCGCCCAGTCGGTCTTCTCGTAGAAGTTCTTTCGCTTTTTGTACTCGACCTAGCTGAAGACAAGGGCCGCCAACTCAAGAGCAAACTTGAAGAGTAACCCTTGAGCCGTTACGCGGCCATACGGGGCCTACCGAGCCTAGGCCTAGGGTTCCCCGTCGCCAAACAGCCTCAACATCCCAGCGAGCCTCGAGCTCTGGCTCCTTCCAACAGATCCGCAGAAAATTGCCCCGACAAAGAACCAGACAAACTGTCCTGGAAGTGCGACCTGTTGCGCGGCTTCCACTCCGCGTCTAAACCAAAGCAGAAGGACTCCTGAAAGGCGCCGACTCTTGTGCACCGACGTGGGTCCGCGAGCCGCATAAGGCGACTGCAGCGGTATGCAGCGGTCCTTTCCGTCAAGATGCGTACGCATCAGCCAGAAGATGCAGAAGAGCGCCCCGATGGTGCGCTGGTACTCGTCTTCACCTCAAGGCTGCAGTGCTGCGAGGGTCCTACACAGAATTCCAAATCCTAAACTCAAAGACTGCTGGCATCTGGATCCGAGCCTGTTCGACTGGCTGAAGTTGTGAGTGTAGAAATGGACGGCAACAGCACCCGGCCCTCACCGTGGGCCGCAGCCTCCCGAACCACCTGACGGATCGAGACTCCCACCAGCGCAAGCCAGCCGATCAATTGTACCACGCCGGCAAGATACTTAAGCCACAGACGCAGTACAGCCGCAGCTCGGGGAAGGCTGCCACCAAGTCGCTGTAGAAGTCCTGCTTGCCGTAAGCTCGCAGGCAGCAAGTCCTCCGACATGGCCTGCCTGACGCTTCTAGCACTGCACCTTTCAATATTATGCCGAATAGCAAATCTGCACGTTGCGAATTGTGGCGAGATGTGGCGAGAGGATATGCCTACTTGCCATGCGCAGCAGTCGCATGGATGATGCAAGCCACCTTCGTCGTGTAGCTTGGACTTCGAATCTGCTCGGCGGCTCGACCTTCGGTGTGGAGTGATGTTAGTCCCCTCGCGGCACAGACTGCCGTTCACAATCGCTCAAGTCTGAGCGCTCTGCGGGCCCGAGTCCAGTCAGTGACTTTCCCATCCATGACCTTGCGTGACAGACGCAGCCCAGCGGCGCAACCCTATACACCTGGTGCACACAGTAAGATACCCGTTTGCAGCATCCGGGCCCAAGGCCCTCATGATGAGCAACTCATCCTTGCCGCCTCAACACACTCTCTAAAGGCTCTGGCGCTGAGGCGCTGCGAGTCACGTGGCCACAGCTGGATGGTACTGAGGAGCCCGCTTACTGGCAACGGCTCAGGCGGGACAACCTGGCAAGACCGCCAACCACAGTCATATCAGCTGAGTCAGCTCATGTCATGTCGGTATCCACTCACCTCACGCGATGGGCATTCCGTAGGCCTGCTTCTTGCTCTTGTCGAGCTGCATCGCCAGCGCTTCATGCTTGGGCTGCTCGTCATAATGGCTCGGCCTGCAGACTCAAATGCACGACTTGTGTGACTTGTGTGTTGAGGAATCCCTCCCAGCTGGTGCCTTCGGAGATCTTTGCGAGACTCGTACCTAAGGAATCCCAAAGCAAAACCGTAGCTGTAACAAAATGGGTTAAATCAGCCGAAGTTTGACAAGTGGCGGCGTGAGTAATAGGTGCTTGCAGCCATGAGGTTTTCGGAGGCACGGCCATGCACGGTATCTTACGGTGGACTGCCTAAAATAACCTGCAGGCCAGGTGCTCAATCTCGGCAGCATTTGTCCATCCCCACCTGGCGCAAGAATGATTCAGAAGTGTATCATCCCGGGCTTGTTGAGAGGCGGTGTCAAAAGTGGACCCCACCCGCCCGGATGCAAACACGCGTGGCTTCTAAAGATCGTCGCACAAACACCGCTCTACTCATCTTGAACAGTCGCAAGACATATCATACCACGTACTTTTGAAGTAGGTGGCCGGACGGGCTTGCACTATGCATGTTGAAAGGCATGCGACGTCGCCTCTTTTGTGCCGAACATCCCTGTGCAGGCTGGAAGCATTGACACTCGCGACGGGGCACGCATCCACTGGCGCTTTCTTCTGCGGCCGCCACGGCGAACAATGGCCGGGGCACAATCGGGAGGCTTTCATGGAGCGCAGAAGCGAATGCCACCTCATGCGCAGACGCCGCAACGGAGGTGGTGCAGGTCGCACTGGTCACAAGATCTTGTTCCTGTACTCGTCGTAAATGCGAGCGACGAACTTCCCGCAGGGCCTGCGACCAACAAGATGCTGAAGTTGGAGGTCATTGCTTCACTCAGCTCGACAAAAAACTACTGGCCAGGTGCAATCTTCCAACGCCTCTTGGCGGTCTCCTCTTCGAATACCTATGTCACACTCGGACAGTGCCAGGGGTTACAGTATTTGATGTGGTGTACCCGTTTCCGTGTTCATCAGGCATCACTAAGCTGACAATACCTGTTGCATGGATTACCTGCCGATGCTCTGATTGTGGCACACAATCATGCCAAAGCAGTGCTTTGCAGGCTGTGGCGCCTGGAGCACCGGCGGCGCAGATTTGGGTGCGCCACGTTTGCCAGCTTCTGCAAAGGAGCGAAAGCGGCCGCGTGCCCAGGCACAAGGATCCTGGGCCCAAGTCAACACCAAGCGGTGCATGCTCCTGAATTACAAGGATGCGTGTATGGGCATATTGGCACCAGCAGGTTTTGCCACCAGGATAATTTACTGATCCTGTTTGACATCGCTACTGACATCAAAGACGTGTGGGAATCTCAACACCACTTCAACACCCGTACAGTACCATCCTGTGCCTTGTTTTGACGGTACTTGGTCTTGAATTGTCACTTCCTTGGGATCGGCACCTGTACCGGTGCTAAGACGCTAAGAAGCGACCAGCACCGTACCACATAGTAGCTAGCCCAGAAAAGAAAAGAGTACTAACGCCACCATGGTCCTTGAACAGAAACCTGCTGACCAGAAGCGGGGCTAGTAGAGAGGCGAATGTGATGTCAACATACGTCAGCTGGTCGCCAACGATGTAACCCTTCCCGTCGGGTCCGACTGCGGCATCAACACGCTTCAAGACGTCTTCTATAGTGGCTTTGCGCTCATCTCGCAGATCTGCTCGGTCCAGCTTCAAAGCAGAACGCATGAAGGCTTTGATCGGGAAGGCAAAGGCTCTCAATAGACCTAGTTCGTGCAAAAGCTGGGTCTCCTATTCCAGAGGGGCCCGCGCGAAAGAGGGCAACTGACATGGAAATCTCGCACGAACTACCGACGTGCCCCGTCTAGTGAGATCTGTTTACTGCCACGGTGGCCCTGGGAAGCCGGCATCTCTGCACGAGCGGACACCGCTCATCATATGCGCCCCAGCAAACCAAGGCGATCCTGCACCAAGATGCGTAGTTGCACAAGATTTCACAAGGAACTCGACTGCTGCCCTTACTTCCGCACTGAGGCCACAGATGTCAGCTTACAGCGCATCGGACAAGGGTGCTCCGGACCGCCGAATCAAGTCAGGCAGCTCAGTTGAGAACTCCTTTCCAAGGAGGTAGTAGTATGCCCAACCCTGGATTGCGTGCCCAAGGTCATTCCTTAGAGGTCGCGAGGGCGATGAATTAATTGAAACTGAACCCTAGAACCAGCAGATAATTAGTGTGACATCTATTCATGGGTACCTTTGACAAAGCAGCCTGAGGAAAGCCGTGGCTTCTGTCAGCTCAGAGTCAAGGCGAGCTCCCATTCAAGCGTCATGGCAGTCTGCTTGAGCAATGCATCCGCTGCCTTGTTGCTCGCAGTGTACAAGCCATGCAGGTATCGCAGGATCTCATCGGAATTGCCAATGTGGCTGCAGCTTTTCCTGGCAGGCTTGCGTGAATCGAGACGACGACCATTCCCGGAATTAAGTAAACCTTGCAACAAGCGTACATCAGTCAAAGCTGACCGTATCTGACGAACACGACGCGCCAGTCCTGTCATTGAGTTGCGGCACCGACTGGCCCAAGAGAAGAATGTTCAGAATGCCGCAGTTTGTAGATTCATCATAAGGAAGACCTCATTCATGCATATATGAAGCAGCACGAGTACCTGCTAAACTGCTGGACGGCCTGCGTTGAAAGGATTGCAAAGATTCCCACGACTACCACAGCAGTTCGACTCGTGCTTGGCGCTGCTGGAGCTCAAAGCCCGGATCTTGGCAGTCTTGTATTTTTTACACCTACAGCTTCTGTCATATGATTATGAAAGGAAAGCACTCGTACCGGGCTCAGGTTCTGCGAAGCACCGTCACCATGACTCGGAAGCATGGAAGTTATCTGCACAGAGAGCACAGTGCCAGTGCCCGGGTTAGTTCAGCATCACTGACAAGAGGAGTCCGTGCAGGCAGGCTCCCAGTTCTCTCCTCAAAAAGAATGAACTTGGGAAATAAAAGCTAGCACCTTGCTAGCTCACACATTTTCATACAGCCTGCCGTAAGGAGGCTGCTGCTGTGGAAAGTTCTGCGCGTTCTGAAAACTTCGCTGCCGCGGGGCCCAGCAGGTCCAAACAGAAGCGGACCTTCTCACCGAAGTGGTTCACAGGCATTGCGATCAGCTCAAAGCGCTTCCCGGCATATCTCGGATGGCACACGTCAAGCTCATGCAAGCTCTGGATCGACGGGGCTTATGACGACCAGACAAGCTGTACCAACCTTTGGGCTCCCTCTTGACTGCACAGCAACAAGCTCAACAAATGCCAAGATCAATCCAATCGCCGCTTCGGTAGCTTGTTCCCTTTCATTGTAGGAGGGACGCCCACATATGCACGAATGCCCAGAAGAACGACGATCAGGCTAACCAGCACGACTCCGACTGACCATTGCCCTGCTGAGGCTGCTAAGCACAGGCAAGCCAAAACACCAAACACACTGAACTCGAAAGCCATCCTCGAGGCAGCTTCTGGCCAAAGGCGCGCGCTGCTTGAGCAACAGAGGCGTTCCGGCAAAGAGTGCTCACATGCTATGCATTCCTTGTGGCCTTCGTCCACTGTCGTCTGCATGTATTCCATGCAACCCCGAAACGTTCAACAGCCCATTCTCAGCACCTGGTGAGAATCATGTCGTACTCGCCAGTAGCCAGCTGCTCCTCCGTGGGCCGCGCAGCTCAGTCCGTACGGAAATCTGAGTACGAGGGCAAGGCTTGCATGGTGAAACCCGCGACTGGCCTGGCGACAGAATGTAAAATCCTCCGCCGACGGCAGCCCAATGTACTGCCACCGTTGGTCCTGCCGATGGAGCCACTTTACTCGAAGTACGCTCATCCATCAACAGTGGAACAAAACAAAATGCGCTGGCGGGGTGGTAAGGGTCCTGTGGGTTCAGCACCTCACATCGAACCTCCATGATGGTGTACACAGTCTTCAAGCCAGGAAAAGTGACAGAGAACTCCACCTCGAGGGAGCAAGATCAATCGATAATTGAACATTTTCTGCCATCGGCGGCAAGGTCTGGCCTCTTCCCTTGTCTCAGATCTGGTCACGCTGAGCATGTCCTTCTGCTGCTGCTCCGGGACACCGAGACGAAGAAAGAGCGCCTCCGAATTTGAAACCCTGCCGTCGGCTTATGGTATTAAATCTGGTCGGTGCCAGAGTGTAAAAGTCCAAACAAGCTGTCCACCTCAGACACGGCATCCGACCAGTGTTGCATCGCTCGCATCCGCATTGATAAGGTTCGTAAGTTGCGGAGGTGCTGCACCCGTCCTGTCATTCCACAACGAGCAGGATGATCTCATGTAGACCACTTGAGGTTGGAGACTTCACATGAAGGAGGGCTCGAAACTACGCCTTGCTGCTGCTTGGTCTTGATGATCAGCACATGCCTTATTTAGATCGTGAGCGATCTGCCCCTGGCATGTCACAGTTGCAGCGCCGCTTCTGGAATTGTCTGCCGAGCTGCTTTTGGCTGAGCAAGTTCGCTTCCAACCAAACCTTCACAACCTTGACCTTTCGCACCAGCTGTCCATCAACGACCTGGATTGTAGATAAAGACTTCTCGTAGACCTGCATCAAGTCTGGCAAGAAATTCCACGGCTTCTACGACTGCAAGCTACCCATCCGACCAGAAGACGCCTCTGAATAAAGTTCCACGAAGCTCTGCCAGGTGAACTCACTGAGATCAATGCCTGGCCGTGGCGCGAGGCATCATCACAGAACAGCAACAGCTCCTCTTTGCCCTCTTCTTGTGCCAGTTCTCCGATACAAAACAGGATCGGGACGCCATGCTGGGAAAGGAGCTGCATAAGCTCATCCTCCTTGTCGTTCTCTACCTGATTTCCAGTCCCATCCGAGATGGGTTTATGGACCAACCTGCAGCTTTTGATAATTGGATCGAGCACTGGGAGCCCCTGCAGGCGCCCACGTCCACCTGACGTCACGTCTGAAGCGCTCTCAGCTATAAAAACGCGCGCTGGCACGGCCTCGTCTTGCCATCATCGGTGTTGAAGTCCTGCACACCCAGCCATAGTCTGGTTTCAGTGCTATGAGGTTCCCTGCTGACAGGAGGCGGATTCGCTCTTGTCGGTGCTCTAGACAGAACCATCAATGTGCGCTCCTCGCCGGCCGGCAGGCCCATGCTCACGAGCTCTTTTCGCGTCTTGTCCTCTCCAACAGCTGGAACAAGATACCGGAAACTTGCAAGCAGCTTGGCTCGCCGAATGTTCCTTGATGGTCACCACAACACTGTGGGTCTTGTAGGTGGTTGTCATGTCTGGAACCGTCTCAGACTCGGCGCTGTACTCTTCGTACTTGTATGCCTTGGTGCAGGGCAATGGGAAACGGTGACAGTGCACGTCTTCGGAGAGTTTTGGTAGCGCGAGATGCTCGGCGTGGTTACCATGACTTACACGACCAACGACAGCAGGCAGGGAACTTGAATACTTAGCTACCTGAGCGCAAACCACCGTAAAGCGCGCCGCGCACCTTTTCTCTCAAACGACCGTGTGCAACTTGTGACAACGTCAATCCACTACGTCGGAGGGGTCAGGACTGCTCTTCCTTCTGCGCTAAGATCTTGTCTGCCTGCAGGCTGGGACCGATAAGAGAAAGCGCAGCACAAAGCAGGACCAAGGAGCTATCGTCATTATTCGCCGTTTAATCAGTCATCGCACACAATGCAATATCTACAAATAACAGCGACAAGAAGACATGTTATGAGTTTGATGATGGCCTTCTCTATGAGTTCCGACAAGCCCTCCTTCGAGCCCAGTTCTGCCAGCTCCAGAGGAATTTGGTGGAAGTTCTCCAGTCGGCCGCGGCGCTCCGCTTCGCTCTGCACCACGCGAAGCTCGGGCGAGCGCGCTGCTGACATGTCCGCTAGGTCATCCCAGTCGAACAGACACGCATCTGTTGTCGGGCCCCACGGGGACAGGTCCACTAACCAGACACGGCGCCTGGGTGGTATGTCGACATACACGTCGAAGACATACCTTTTCAATCTGAAGCGTTCTTGCAACTTTTGCTCAAAGAACTCTTGGATCGCAGCCTGGATGGCTTCGACTTCTTCTGTGTTCATCAAGTGCTCGAAGAAGCAGCCGGTTTGACGCTGAGAAATTGCAAGGAGATCTGTGTCCTTGACGAATGCTCTGAACTCGCTGGACTCGTGGAGCGAATGCCAACGGCGCAATACCAAGGTGAAGTCATCTGGTCGTCTGCGTGCGAACGCCCCGCAGTGGTCGAAGGCATGGCACAAATCATGAGACACGAAGTCTGAGGCCTTGAGCAGCGTGAAGACTTCGGCCGGGGTTGTACATTTTAAGCTCCCATGAATCCAGTGGGCATCCTTCGGTGCACTCCAGTTGAGCTTCGGCAAGACTTGTCCATTCAGGCGTGAGATTGCTGAACGAACCGACTCCTCAAGCTCCGGAAAATCAAAAACTCCCTCCAGATCCTGTGCTTCATCGGCAGAATCGCCACCGGAGCCCCAGCTACCATCGCTTGCCCCATCTGATTCCTTCGGCTTCGATGATGGAACATGAATTCCATCAGCCAGGAGGTATTTGACGAAATTCTCGGAGAGTGGGAGGATCTCGCTCTTGAAAGTCACATCCCTGAACCTCAGGATCGCTCTGGAAACATCTGCAACCTGAAGCAGGAACCCAAGAAAAACCCTGGTTGCTGCCAGAGCACGTGGGAAACCAGGAGGCGAATTGACAAGCCAAGACCTCCTCTTCTACCATAGTCTCTTCGACAGCCCCATCCTCGTTCTCCCCAGATTCGTTCAGGTCGATTGCCATGGCGTTGCTACTTCTACTACGGTGGGCACCGTGATGGCAGGCTGGCTTGGCAGACGACCAGTGGAAGACGACAGGATACTAAACTGCAACTTGTCACGTGCATGTCACTCGCTGCAGGCCTGTGACAACAAGGTGCTTCAACATTTCAGCACAGGATGTCAAATGCTGAATGTGCTTGGTCCTGTCGTGTCATCCTGAACCGAGCACGCATTCAAGCATATATATATATATATATATATATCCTGCTGCCGAGGCACATCTTTGGCGACGTGAAAAAGACTGCCTTGGGCCTGAATCCATAAAGGGTGACCGGGCCACCTACGCTTCTGCAACATTTCACGAAGACTAAGGCTGCGACACCTGCGGAGATCGAAAACTTCTGCTCAAAGCAACGCTCCAGGGCCTGGTCCGGATGCAGTGACAGAGTTCTTCGACTACCGCTCTCCAGTGCTCTCAGTGAGGTGTATAAAATTTCATGGTATCCTGGCGGAGCTGACACAGAGCTTTGAGATACGCAGTTTGTCAGTGTCATCATGCGTTTCCGCAAGTTCCGCAACTTCGACCTGCTTCCAGCTTCCCTGGTCTTTGAGCCTCATGACCTCAGCCCAGCAACCGGAAAAGTTGAAAAGTGGACAGCGAACGACTGTCTTAGTTCCCCGCCATGGCCAACAATTGATTCCTCTCCCGCTCTGTACCCGCGTCGGTCATCCTCAGCGCCAGCGAGTGCAACGGGCCCTGTACGCTTTACAGCTTGATAGCATCTCAAAGGTGTCGTCACGCCCAAGTGCGCTTGGCTGGCCCAAGGCCGGCGCTCAGTCTTTATCCTGAGCTCCTGCAGCCGGCCTTCGCTGTTGCGAAAGCCTCAGAGCGCTGTTCACTGTTCTGTCGAGAAACTCCACAGGACTTTCGTGTGCATCAGCCGAGAAACGCAAGTGAACTCGCACGAGCTCGACGAAACGTTGCAGGGAGTTGCCCCGGAGCTGCAAGAAGCACCTTGAGAGATGCCGCATGAGAGGCAAAGTTTGCTTGTGGCACAGACCAAAGTGATGAGCGCAACTGCCAGGTGCTGGGTTCCCAGCTTCTCTTCGATTACCACGGACTCAAAAAACTTTTGCAATGGCTTGGTGTTGCCCTGTTTGCACGTGCAAGCCGCAAAGCATCTCCAGCACGTGCAAGCCTTGAGAAGCCTACCAACTGGCCCACCTTGCCAAATTTGGACAAGTCTACCTGATACTGCTGCAAGAGGTCTTTGAATTCTTCATAAGACCTGAGACTCAGAGACGGCTTCTGACTTGTTGTGAGGCACTCGAGACAAAATGCAAGCATGTGCAATCAAGCGGCAACCTGTTTGCTACGTCCTGTGCACAGAAACACGTAAAGTCATGACTCGATCTTTCACACGGCTTTCAGATGTGGTTTGACACTCTGCCCTGTTTGACTCACCTGTCTCGAGCATGATTCACTCGTTGAAGTCGGATTCCATCTGGTTACCAAGTTGGGGCATGCAACTGCTCAGAGCAAGCTTTCTCCTTGGCTTGGGTTTCGTCGACGAGGCTTAGAAGAGGCCGCGACTCTTCACCCTTCTGCTCGTTGGGGTCAGTCACCTTCGGAAATGCTACTAATCACACCGCATGGCATGCGAGGCTACGAGGGAGCAACACGGACCCGCCCACCTCCGTAAAGGCATCCAGGTAGAACCTGTTCTGACCTTTAGCCACTCATTGCAGCATGGACAGAGTGCGATCAGCCGCCTTACTGCCAGGTTGACAAGACTTCGGGTATTTGCCAGCATGACGATTCATGCTTTGCGGGGTCGATGCGAAATCGCTTAAGATGACACAGCAGAAAGGTCTGAATGATACTTGTCGTTTCTGAGATTCTGGATAATGAACCACTTTCTCCCTCTAGGGGGCCGGCTGCCCAAAATCAGTGGAATAAATCTCAGCGCACTGAGCTGCTGTTTGGCTTCCAGGGACAAGTGGACCATGCCTTCTTGCCTCGGGCCAAATGCATGTTGAAAGGCAAGAATCGGAGCGGTGCTTAAGGGTTCGTGCCTCGAGGCGTCAGCCAGCTGCCGAGCACCTTCAACGCCCCAAGTTCAGCCAAGTGCTGAACGCTTGTTTCGAAAAAGGCGTGACATACTGACACATTGTGTGAAATGGCTTGTAATGTAGCTTGGGTAGCGCAGCATGACACATGGCGAATGGTGAACCGCGCCTGCGCAGACCGGCCCGAAAAAGGCACGGCTGTCACTGCTGTTTTGCATGGACCTTGCAGGCTCTGAGCTGCTGTGTTCCGCAATGCTATGTGTGCACGGCATGATGTGAATTCTGAGGGCCAGCAGCAGTCCATTGACACTGTACAGTATTCCGTAGTCAACCTTAGTGAAGAATCTGTATACGGTCTCTATAATCTGCGGATGGCAAGGCCGTGCGACGGCAGCTGAGGGCCGGACTCCCACTAGGAGACCAATCGATGGCGACTGTGACAGCGCCCATCTGGCACGCAGATCGGCGGTGCAGCAACTTGTGCTCAGAGCTTTAAAATTCTTTTCTGCTGCAGCATTCTGCAACCCATCGACCCCTTGTACAGAGATTGCAATGCTGGCCTGCAAAGCAATTGGCCCATGCGGGTCATTGCATCGGGCGCGTTCCTCAGCACGGGCGTTAGTCTAGTTTTCGGTCAAACGGTTTACTGATGGGCATCTGAGGCCCCTGCATGCTCGCACCTTCTACTCCGCTTCCCATTATGAGGCCTTGCCACGAACACAGAGAGAGAGAGAGAGAGAGAGAGCGAGAGAGAGAGTACACACCACTCACTCCCCTTGTCGGACGTGCTGGTCCTAAACGTCTCTTTGGGGGTTCTTTCAGCATACGGTATCAATGAGCAGCAACATGCAGCAACGGAATGCGAAAGCTAGGCAAAGAGATGCGTGACCTGTTGAGCCAAGGTGCCGCTGGTCGCGTCGTCCACCAACATGTGGGCTTCAAAATAGGCAAGGTGGCTCACAATCTGAGCAAGCACATACCGAGGCGACTTACGTTCGCTTCGGTTTCAACAAGTGCATGCCTGCAATGAGTGACTGCTGGGACCGTGGCTTGCTCGTGCAACTTCTGCAACTGGTCCACTTTTATGGTGAACTTGGCCATGCTTCGCTGAAGTACAACTAAATTCGTTCAACTCGATGGCAGCAGCATGAGTCCTGAAACAACCTTATAGTATGTATGACAAATCACGAGACAACATGTCCAAATGCAAGAAAGCTGCCGCAGTGTCGACGCCAAGCCTGGTGCAGGAAACATCGACGTGCAGAATTCCCGCAATCCCCAGTCTCGCCACTTGAGACTACGTTGAACAGTACTGTGTTTGCTGTGATCTATGCAAAGGTCGCGTCTTGCTGGCAGGTGCTTGTATGGTAGGCGGCCTCCAAGCGAGGCAGCACGTTGGCGAGCCAACAGCTTCTGCCTGCCATCGAGCTTTGGCTTCATGCTGCAGTGGTTGCACATCTCCGAGCCTGAACTGATAAATCGTATTCGTTCGAGCGGCCGCAGACCATGCCTGGCGACCAAAGGTAAGCTCATACCGACACGGTCTTGCATGGTCTTCGTGGTTCCACATGCCGGGAAGCTGACTTTGCATGTCGGTGCTCCCTCCCAAGCCCAAACAGCTCTTGGGGCCGCCGAACCTGAAACGCAGCCGACGCCGCCGCACTTTCACTTTTCAGGACTGTACCCCCTATGCTGTTTAAAGAACTCTCGGCTGCCCGGTTATTCGCATGCAGATGTTGACGGTAAGGGCTCCACAACCCAGGTCCCTGGGAATTGCCCATCGCGGCTCCTGCTCTTGAGGCTCTTGACCGGGTGACTCGACGGTCTGCCAGATGGTTCAGAAGGGCAGAAGCTGAGAGGCCAACTGCGAATGCAAAGCGACGCTTCCCAGCTATTGCAGCATGCAGGCTACGCGGGCAGGGCAATGTTCCAGTCTACCAAATGCTGGGTCTGGTCTCGACAGGTTGGCTTGCAGTCACTGGTCGTTGAGGGCTGTTTGCGCAGGCCAAGCTACCAAACAGATCTGGCAACTGATTGAGCTGAAACCTGGTTACCTAGTTAACACGAGCCAACAGGTTTTGAGCCTGGGCTGGTGTGCAAAGTGGGCTGATTTGAATGTTGCGTCAGCATAGAATCACCAACGTTTCCCGCAGAGCCATTGCAGTGAGCTCGTGCTTGCCATTTTCTCACGATCACCTGTGCTGAGAGAACTTGGCATCAGACCTGACTCACACATGCAAAGTCACGGCTGCCGTACGTGCTCGAACTGCGTAGTAGGCATCCCGGCTTCTGCGGTATGACAGCCCAGCAGCAGATCGCCTGAGCGAAGCGAAGAACACCATGAAGCTCAAGCAAGGCCTTTTCTGACTGCCACGGCGACGATACTACAAATCTCAGGCTCGGCAAAGCAGCCGTCGCCTGAAGATGCTAAGCACAGACACTGATCGGCTTCTCCCAGAAAGTTGACAAGAGCTCACGAATCGCGTGCCTCCGAGAATTTGGTGGAAGGTCTGGCCTCGCACAAGGGCACGTCCAAATATGCCCCTAAACGCTCTCAGACCCCAAGGTCGACACGGCTCCACCAAATGAATGCTCGCCCGGCCTGACAGCGCGAGACACCCACGAGCCATGCAGCCCATGCACGCCATACCGTGCAGAGTCCCATCAGTCCTTGATGGGATAGGACATCGCAACCTCGCGATCCTGCTTTGCGACAGCAGTGGCTGACCCAAGTCATCGTTCTCAAACAGTGCGTCCAGGTAGTGCCTTTGCTTGCAAGGTCAGCGTAGCAGTTGTAGAGTCAAGCCCTGACCTTGCGGGACATCTTTCTGCTTTTGATAAAGCGGCAGCAACTGATCAACGGCAAGGGCAGAGAGCAAGGCTCATCCACCGGCACGAAAAGCCGGAAAGACACCTCCCTGCGGTTGTCTGGAAGGAGGCCACCATTGTCCACCTCAAGTCGTCGCAGAGCAACAGCGAATCCTGCAACTTGTCAAAGAAACCTCTTGCGCGGCCTCGGCGCCGGAGCTTTGAGCTCTGGAGATGCGCAGCTCTGTGACAACCTAGCTACACGACGCCAAACATCGCTTTCTTCACTGCACGCTTCTCTCGTCTGCCTCCAGCTCCATCAGGCGGAAAGCGCGCAGCACCTCTGCAGCCAGAGCGCTGCAGAGCGCAAAGACGACACCTGACAGCGGCATAAAAAAAGTGCCGGGCGGGCATCGCTGAGCCAGAGGCCATAGTCTTCTGACAAGTCACCGAAAGGTTGCTGCTCGTCCTTGTCACAGCCAGTCACCGACAATTCAGTACCTTGGCAAATATAGCTAGACCTCTTCTGTCCGACAAGGCTCGGCCGGCAAACGATGTTGCTTGGGTCACATATTCCAGTCACGTGGCGAACCCTTGACAGGTGGAAGGATTGGGATGGTTTCAACATGTCCGACCATCTGTCTTGTCCGCATGCGGTGGGGCGCAGTTGAGGTGAGACTTCCATCAGTGGAAGCTTCTTCGACGAAATGCTTGCGCACCGCCAAGAACACTTGTTTTCTACGATCTGCGAAACACATCGTTCGACCAACTAGGTTTGAAGAACGAGGCACTGCGCCACATTGACCCACATCCTAAGGGCACAGCCTCGAACTCTTGAAAACGCCGGTGCGACGTGGAAATCAGGAGAGCGGTATGGCTTTGTGTGACACGCTTTGTGTCATGACCGGCTTGTTTCCTCTCCGGAAGACCTGACCGCACAAAGTCGACAGTTGCATGTAAAACCAATCATTAGCCCCTGGAGCAGACAAGCTTTCTATGCATACATCCGCTGGAGCCGCGTGCTCCGCCGATTCCCAGCCGAGTTCCGCACGTTCCTTCAGATGTTCCTGTGTCAACGAGGAGCAGTTCGAGCAGATGTCATTCCGCGAGTTTCCATGAAAGCATGGGGCACAGAGCAAGCAGACTTTTTGGCAGACACTGTCATGCGAATCGATTGTCTTTATGTTCAAACCGGAAAGGAGGGGAAGGGGAGCGCGAGCCCCGCGTCTGACGCGTATCTGAAGAGCTGCTCCAGAGGAAGGCCAAGCAGCTCCTCGCCATCTGAGCTCTGCAAGTAGGCAGTTCCGCCCAGCAGTGCGAGGAGAAGGCCCCAGTTTTGGTTTTCGAGATTCCCCCAAGGGAAAGGCTTCAAGCTCTTCCGCAGCAGAAATGCCACCTAAGCTGCAGCAAACTGCAGGAATGTCATCGGAATGTCTCCACATGTCCGTTTCCACTAGCACGATCATGACATCGGAATCTTTGCCTAGTGCGTCGCTATAACCGTGCTGAAAATTTTCTGCTCGCCTTGCAACAGCAGCCGAGTCACGGTTGTGCGTTCTTTGACGCGGGAAGTGCTGTCGCGGGGTTCGCTGGCATCCAAATACGTTGTGACTTGTCCGAGTCTGATCCCCGCAAGTTGGTAGCCCAAACGCTCATAGACTCCTCTGGCCTCTTGCTGAGACTTTGTGCCCACGACTCGTAGGGTGTTTAGTGATCAGCGTCTAATAGGATAAGCTGTGAATGTGCTGTCGCTTCAGGTCCTTCCTACCTGTTGCGTTCATTTGCGTTCCCACCTGGAAGTTCGTCGCCTCCACCAGCAACACAAGCTCATCATAGCCCCACTCCTCGAGCACCATTTCTTCTAGCTTCTCGACCAACTTTCGACCGATACCTCTTCCCTGGCATTCCTTACTCGCAAGCCAACTGGTAAGTGATCACGCTGCCAGATTAAGGAATGCTTCCTATCCGAGCAGCAGAGGACACAGCCAAATCTGCCATCACTGGCCGCAGCACGGTCCTTGAATCAGTTGGGGCAGCATGTAGACACACCGGCAAGATATGTCCAACTGAAGAGAAGCAGAAAGGAGTGACCGAGTGGATGAGACTAGTTTAACTAGTTTGTGTCCGCCCCCAGTGTTGGTGGGGAGCAGGGGGGCTGCTGTGAGTATGCGGCTGTTCTGTTCCTGTTCCACATGTCTTGCCTGCTCGGGACTCGGGACAACAAGGAGCACAACGGTTTTGGTAATTCATTCTCTCGCTTGCAGCAAGCCTCCAAGAAAAAAGTAGCGGGCCAGTTCTGTACAGCATCTTGCGCAAAGCTGGGCGTGAGACTTCGACAGCACCCGGGTGGACAGGCGCAGGTCAGTTTTTTTTGCCTCCTGCCTGGCTAAATGTCAGACATGTGTCTTGCTTGCTTGCTGCAGGTAAAAGACACAGGCGCGCCCCGGTCCTCCCCATTAGGGGACCTGTACGTCCGGCGTGGCCCCCGACAACTACACTTTCAACCACTCGATCCCCGAACCAACCCGAACCTTGCACAGCACTGCCTTGGCCTACCGGTCTGACCTTCCTTGAGCCTGGCACACGGACAGCAGGTGGGGCAGAAGCACTACAACATGAGCACACCACTGTAACTGCTTCCAGCATGACTGCACACCACCGAATAATCCCCGAAACCAGTCATCATGAAAGAGACAACTTGGAGGCGGCGGCCCCCGGAGCACCGAGCTGAAAGGTTGCTGTGGCGCCTGGTTGCCCTAGTGCTGCTAAGGTTCAAGTTGCAACAAGACTGACCCCGGCCTAAAGATGTTGAGGCACTGCGGGCATCCGACTCTACTCTGCGGCTGAGCGAAAGAAAGGAGCACGTCCGCGCTGCAAACGACTCTAAGGCCCAAACTACCTAACAAACTCAGGAGACTAACAGCTGCCATCCCAGGGCAACTCAGCAGGCTGCCGGCATGGTGGGCTGCAGTTGCGACACCCCCGGACAGGGGTGCGCAGCACTAACTGTGGGCACTCCCCTAAGCGGCTTAGTCGCAGAAAGCTGCATGCATGCGGCCGGGGCTTGGTAGGTTGTGTCAACGGGTGCAGCAGCAGCACCGCCTGTGTTGGCTGCAGCTCGTCGGGCTTGGGGGCGGCTTCGTGCCGAACTTCTCCGTCGTCTCCGGATTCCCCACATCTCGTCCTCAGTTCATCAACTGCACCTCGGGCAGGTAGTGCTCATCGTCATCATCCACCAGTTGCACCTCCGTCCCAGAGCCTGTCGTTCCGTGCCGTCAGGTGGTTCTGGGTGTCCAAGACGGTGTGCAGTGCTTCCCCGGTCACCAGGGGTGGGTTCTCGCATGCACCTGCGTCGTTTGGCCACGGGCTCCGGTTCTGCTTCTGCTGCACCTTCTGGTTCTGTACCGTTGTCCAGGACAAGGGGAACACTGTCTCTCTCTCTTCCGAGGAATGCAGAGTGTGCGAGACTCCCCGGCGCACCCCTGTTTGCGGGGCTTTTAGAGCGGAGGAAACAGCAATGAGGGAGACGATTCATGAAGAGAGAATGAATGAGCTGTCCCCCGACGATGGCTGCATGAAGCCTCTACAATGAGAGCGAAATGCCATGCGAGAAACTAGCTGACGAAAAGTTTTCGGGATTTCGGCAAGAACAAAGAGGAACTTCCTCCCTCCATTGGACCCTGAGCCTATGCAGACAAGCCTCTCTCTGCCACCATCAGATCGGAAAATTGGAAGCTCTTCATTAGTGAAGATGTTGAAGCATTTCACTTCGCAGCCGACGCAACCCACCACTTTGGAAGAAGTGCTGCCTTCCGCCGTTCTGTTTCAGACCGTAACTCCAAGGATCGGCTCTGAATTGCACGAGCTCAACGCGGGCCCCACCTGATCCTCCGAAGTCAAACCACGAGGTGGTCTCCTTCTTGGGAGCCTCTGTCCTGGTTAACCGGCATGAATTTGGTGCGGCTGCAACAAACTCCGTCGTTTCAACAATGGCACGGCACAGGGAAGCTTTTGACCCCTAAGCTAGAGTGCCCATCCTAAGGAGCCGCCGAGGTGCTGTCGAAGTCTAGCGACCAGAAGTGTGCTCGGATACGGAGTAGCCTTGGACATGCCGCAAGGTCGCTGACGTCATCACGCAATCACATGTGTTTGCTAGGAGATTCTATTTCTCAGCACACGGCCTTTGAAAGTACATGCGTGCCAACCCTTGATTCTGGTGGTTCTGTGCTGCTCTTTGTCAGTGCTTCTACCGAAATCTGTCTGTCGTCCTTCTGTCATTGGCCAGTGTTCTGTATCGAAGACTCGAAGTGGATACCAGCATGTTAACACCTTTCCAACCGCATCAGTCGTGGCCGCCAAATCGGGCCTTTCCACTGCACCTACTGTGCCTGCTGCAGAAAATCCGAATCGAAGTTAAGCCAAGCAACCGTCAAATACAGCTTCCGATAAGCCTGCACCTCTCGGCCGGCGAGCAAAGCGTAGTCCTCATCCTTAAACTTCGGCTCGTCAAGCCATCCTGCGCAGAGCCACACAGGCTCGCAGCATAGGCACCCGTGCTCCGACGAGGACCTTTTGTCCAGCGCAAGGAGCGCACTGCAACCTCGGCGGCTGGGCGGACATCCGCGTCTGTGGCGGGCTCGATCCTTGGGCGGAACAGACCGCTCTCAGACTCCAAATCTTCTGCCTGACGCCTGCTAAGATGCTGGATCGTAGATGCACGTGGAAGCCGATCCTGCGGCTCACTGCGCCCAAACAATTGAATTTTGCGGCTCATGTCCCTGGGAGGGCCTTCCGGCACCGGAGGCCTTGCCATGCAAAAAGGCTGGCGGCCGAAGAAATGGCCCAGGCCTACGAAGCTGTGAGATGCTGTGAGTTGCAGCGTTTTTACCCACTCCCTCCCGGCTTTCGGAATGCCTGTTTCGGGCAACAGCGCTGCGCTGACGTTCGCGAGCGCTGCGCAAGCCCCAGCGGCACTGGGTCGCATAAGGCTGGCCTCACCGAAAGCCCTCTCGGTATAAGCGCCATGAAGATCCAGGGAAACCACGAAGCTTTCGCAAGGATTGGACACAACGTCAAGCTGTCGAACTTCATCGTGCCATATCGTGCTATGGTCAAGTCTGGGCTACAAGACTTTCTCAAGCTTTGCGAGTCTGTGGTGACTGTAGTGGCTGCATGCATGGATGCTGGGCAGGAAGAACCATGCTGGAGAAAAGCTGCGCAGATTGCATGGCAATAGGCACACGGGGCTTTGGAGTGTCACCATTCACCGCCAAGCCTTGCAGGCTTTGCTGAGTTCTGCCCAAAGTCCTGCTGCAAAAGCAAGCACACAAACGTAGAAGCGCACACGGGCGAACTCAGACAAAATTGGAGCGCCAGACAGCCAGAGAGAGAGAGAGAAGGAGCAAGAGAGAGAGAGAGGCGTGAGTGTGTATGTGCTTGTGTGCATAGATATAAATATATATATATATATATATATATATACTTATATATACTTATATTGACAGTGCGTGTGTGTGTGTGTGTGGACAGCCCCTTTTCAATTGCTTCTTTCAAGGTTCGAATGAAGGGGAGCATGCCTGCAAACTGGTGCCGCTCATGAGCCTCTGGAAGCACTTGAGGGTACAACTGCAAAAGTGGTTTGTTGACTACGTTGAAGTTTGGAATTCGGAGCTCTTGTGCAAGTGTATATCTGCATAACATGTATGTATCTACGTGAACATATGTGGATACATCTATATCTATATATATATATATATGCGCGCACCTACGACCTTTACTGCATTGGTTTAGGGACCTCTTTGGAGCCACTAGAAAAGTTGGCCCCAGGGCTTTGGCACGACGCCAGCTCACGGTCAGTGACCACCTCGAGCCCAAACTTGAGCCTGCATGAAAACTCTCTCCCAAGCGCACGCGGTGCGGCCGTAGGCCAAGTGAAACAGAAGCTGAGGAAAAACTACCGGTGGAGGCAAGGGGCCTGGCACAGGATCCAAGTCGATGGCTACGGCTCCGGAAGCCTGGGGCTGCAGAGTCACACTCGTGCAGTTTCAAAAGCACCTAGAGGCTCCCTGTTGAATACGGAAAAACTTCTGATATCCCTAAACCCAACCCCCTAAGCCCGGAGTGTGTGGGAACTAACTGGGTGACAGCGCGCCTTCAAGTCCGCCTCCTTGGCATCCCAAAGCTCACGGATCCTGCGGACAGGCATCGGCCTGGCGGTCGGCTGCGTCGCTTCAGTCCCTACCGAAGCTGTAGCTGCAGAAGCATATATACACTTCTGATATATCTATATGTACATATGTATATATGTATATATATTGTATGTATATATATATATATATATATATATGTATGTATGTATGTATATATATATATATACGTGTACAAACACATGTAAAGTCTTATCATGTGTATAGTGTATACAAACATAACATATGATGTGTTGTGTGTGACCTCGGATGTGAGAAGACCCCAATCCAGGGACACCTCACCGCGGCATCTACCGCTGCAAGCTCTCTCCGCCTCAGAAAAAGCTGTACTGTGCCCTGCACCTCTGACGGCGATGGCTACCAACGGCTGGGCTTTACTGAATACTGCATGGGCAGTGCGACGCAGGCGGCAGCGATTTTTGCAACCCGCTGATAGATGGCTTCAAATTCAGCTTCTGTCCGTGCTCTTGGCATTGGCAGGTAGCGAGACTACGTCAAACTCTGCATCAGATGTCCTGGCGTCCATGCATCGATGGAGCGCGAGACTCGTGCATTGCTAGACCTGGCCGGAATTCTGAGTGTTCATGTGTCCATAATTTCGCCCTCCACACAGATGACCACAGTACTGCATGAAGAGCATGGTCAGAGCCAGAAGGCACAGGGCCGACCCTAAAATGATATAGATGATCATCCACAAACCATCCCCTGGCACCAAAAGCATCGTCATCGTCCCGACATAGATGTAAAACATCGCACGGCCTGCCGGGTTTGCCAGAATGAAGGCCTTCTGGAAAAGCTTCGCTTGGACATCGCCGCAATTTCGCATCCAGGACTCCTTACCGTCACAGATGCAGATGATCACCCCAAACATGATGTTGTAGATGTTGGCCAAGTAGTGTCTGGGCATGAACAAGACTGCAAATGGGTTGATGAGGGTCACGATGCTGAAAATCATGAGTAGCAAGCCGATGCAAAAGCACATGGTCTTCAGACTGGCTGGGTTCTCCTGGATGTAGGCCGTGACTTCGTAAACTCCGGCTCTCCCTCTCTCTGCAGCTGCACGAGCACCGGTCTGTGCCGCCGCCGTCGCCATCTGTCGCTGCAAATCCGCCGCGGGGTCATTCTGCCCTTGGCCGTAGACCACCGGAGCAGCCATGGCTCCACTCTTGAGCGATCTCGGGTGATCCCCTCTTACTTTGACGCTAGATGCTGAATTACATGCATTGCCATCGTCTCGTCACTCCCCTTTTGATGGTGCAACTTGAGCAAGGCGGAAACGGCAACTTCTGGCCCCCAACAGTGTTTCAGAGATCTGTTGGTGGATTTTCAGCCATAGGCTGAAGGCGTGCAGCATTAAGCCCACGACGCCGTAATGGCAGCACGCCCGAGCCTCGTTCTGTATGGCTACAATCAACTACGAAAGCATGGTGGCGAGCTTTCCAGTATTGTCTAAGTATTAAACAACACTGCTGCAGCCTGCTGAAGCACGTTTGTGCTTGAGGCCTCTACGCATTCTTGAACTTCTGTGTATCTCCGCTGACCTCGTGCCACCAGCCTCGACAAAAAGACTTGGCCACCCAAGTATCGGGCGATGGCTTAGATGCGCTGTGCAGCCAAGATGCCCATGGCCACTGCAAGGAGTGCACCATAAAGGCGAGACCTAATTCCACACACCCTTGCGCACAAACAGTGCGAGACCGTGTCGATCTGACGAAGCCAGGGCGTCTGCTCCTTGCCATCAGGCCGGATGGCCTGCATCACCTTCGGCAGACGGCCCCGCCCAAAGCAACAAAGACAGAAGCACTATCAACATAACGAGGCAGGTATGCATGGGCACACTCTCTGACTCTTTCTTTCAGTTTGTGGAGTCACGGAACAAGGCTTACGCTCGAACTCTCTCTGTGGCTCTGTCTGCTTCTTCGCTCGAACATGGAAGCCTGTCCTGAGCGCACAGTCCGGCTGCATAGCGGGATTTCGGAAGTCTTGAGAAGGAGACAGCAAGGTCAAGGGTCTCTGTGACAGGCCTCACTTGCTGCACGAAACCCACTGCTCTCTCCTCTGAAACAAGCTTCTTCATGTTTTCTCGAAGGCCCTCAGCTGTGTTTGCCGAATGTCTCCTGTCTACATACCTGCAGCTACCTGCATATTTGACAACTCATTTACCTAGGCAGCCTTTGCAACTTAGCGCAGGGATCGACGCTGGGTTCTCGCACGCTCGGACACTGGCGAGATTGCACTCATTGAAACCCCCCAAAACTCGAGCCGCCGCACTCGCATCCCCTGCGACACACACCGCAGTCCCGAGGTTAAGGACCATCTCGGTTCTTTGTGTTGGGTCCCAAGCAGTCATGCAAACCGTTCGCACTTCCAGAACGCTACACAGCGGGCCGTGGGGCATAGGCGGACCGGCTGCAGGCTTCCTTCTGTTCAGAAAGATTTGGGGCACCGTGCCCGGGCTGGGATGGGCCGGAGTCGCAGCTCTGAGTCCCTCTGTCTCTGTGAGGCTGAGCAGGCATGGGAGGACCGACTGAGCTTTCAGCGAAGTGCTGCAGCTCCTGCGGGCTTGGAAGAGGGATCCCTCCTGCAACACGGACAGAAGTGTTGGTATCTCGTCGCTACGCTCTTGCGCTTGTTAAGCCAGTGTTAAGCCTTCTCATCCTGCTGAATACGCCCCCTCAGCCGAGCACTTCCCAAATCTTCCCACTTCTTCCAGCTTGGAGCCTTGTGTTTGCACAGCCGCTGCCGCAGGGCTGTTCTGAAGTCGCGCGGCCATCTCCTAGCGCATCCACTGCTCATAGCGCCCTTCTTGCAAGTTGTCACGGCACACCCCAAAGTTTGCCCCTGAGCCTTTCTTTTACCCCTGCCGACTGACAAGATGCTGCAGCTCATTCGGAAAGTCCCGTGCATCGAATATCCCCAACAAAAAATTGAGCAAGTCCGCAGGGCACTGCGCCACCACATCGTGGTTTTCGCCAGTGGAACCCTTGAAAGCCAAGCTGAAGCGGTGCAAGCACGTTCGTGTGCGGAGCCGTAGGTCTGCGTTCAGCGTAGCCATTGATGCATAAAGCTCATCTCGGGCTAGTGGATGCCCGATGTGTGCGAGGTGGCTTCGGATCTGGTGGCGCCGACCTACCCAGGCCCACAACATGTTGCAACCAGAATCCGTGCTCTGCCCTGGCCTGTGAAGATCTGCACCGAAAGAAGGCTCAACGCATGCGTCGCGGCCGCATCCCGGGCGAGGACATGAAACCACGTCTTGCTCGCCTTACCGCTGCCGCCTGCCAGAACCAAGCCCAAGCCCTGCATTCCTCTAGACAGATCCAACGAAGGTGCTGCGCCTGATCGAGTCGGATGGCCACCTCCCCACGACACGGAAGCCAAAACCTCCCTGCTGCACGGCATCCAGCCGTGAGCCATCGCTAGGTACTTGCGTCGAATTAGTCCGGCTGCGAGCTGCACCTGCATCTCGTAGAAGGCCTTCCAACGGATCCAAGCTGCGACATATTCGGCACACTGAAACAGAGAACATGCGCAAACCGCACACCGGCAACTCAATCTTCATCCGCTCGCCCGCTAGCCGGACGTTTCTGCCGCTGTCGGGCTTCATGGCCGGATTACAGATAGGATTACAGATAGATATGGACGAGAATGCGTCAAAAAGGTGGCAGCTGCGTGGCGATAGGTTTGAGTTTCAGATATCTACCTGGGAGGGCTAATGTGATAAAGGCAGGGGCAAAACACTATCATTATCGCATCAAGTTGACAGACAGGTGCCACGACCATCAGCAGAAATTATGAAGCAAACGCAGGCGAAGCCGGTTTGGTGCACGGGTGCCGAATGGAGTATCCCAACTGCAGTCAATGCGTGCTACTGCCTGCGAGACCCTTAGAGGCTTTTGCAAAGTTCGACCTTCGGCAGACGCCACCAGCTACACCCCCGCAAGACTCCGCGAGCCTCGTATGTCTTCGCCGCCAACACTAGGCCACTACTGGGCACATCCAGACGGTGGAGAAAGCCAAAGCTGTGGGTCTGATCCTAAGCTGAAGGGCATCGCGAAATAGCTCGGGCCCAGGAGCCACTGCGCTTCCAAGGGGCATATGTTAGCGGCAGCGGACCGACCTGGTCCTGAAGGAATCGGCGCAACCTCAGAGAGGAAAGGTTGCGGCCTGCATCTTCGCAGCAAAGAAACGTGGGCTATGGGATCATCGCAAACGAGTCTCTGATTAGGCACAAAGCCATCATGGACCTCCCATCCTGGAGGCTTGTAAAGCACAAGCCTGTCGTTCAGACAAAGTTCGACTCTCGGGTCCTGACGGCCAAGGCTCATAAGGATTCCGCCTAGGCCAGTCTAGGAGAGTCTAGGGCCGAGGGATGGCGCCGGATGGGTTCTCTCGGTCCTCCAACTGCGGGGCCGACGGCGCGTCGCCGCGAGAAGAAGCGGGGTCGGTAACGGCGTTCGCGGCTTTCGCATCCAGGCCGCGGCCGACGGTCAGCGCGCGCTGCTCGACAAAGCGCCGAAAGTCGGCAGTCAGGGACTTAGCAAAGCTGCAAGCCCATGTGATCGTCAGCAGCTGTTGAGTGGAGTCTCCCCGGTGCCATGGGAGATCCCGTTCACGCCACCAGCATTCCCTGGCTTCCGTCTGCACCCACAGAAGGGTGACCACATCTGGCATGGAGGCTGCACAGGCCCAGGCGACTACGGACAAGTTCTCCAGGGACAGAGACGGCTCACTGGCCATCAACCTGCATGTCCCACAGGTATATGCCCAGTCGGCGTGGTGTTGCAAAGCCCTTTCCTTTCTCGAGACCTTTAACCAATTTTAAGTCGACCCTCCTTGTGAAAGGTGAAGAATCAAGAACCTAGTGAGGGCTGCTTGTATTTGCATATGGGGTGTGTAGCTACAAGTCTACAACCTTTATGCCTTCTTCACCTTTTCAGGTCGAGTGGCTTGGCACGGACGGCCTCCATGACCTTCGGGCTCCAGGCTCCCAGGGTGGCAAAGGACCACCACAGTGCTGCCAAGTCCTGCATTGGCAGATTTGACTAGGAATGAGCTGGAACCAACTCAGGTCAACCACCTCTGCATCATGATGACCCAGCTCAGCCAGCACGCTGTCAAAGGTGGCATGCAGAATTTCTGGCTCGCGCACAGAGAGTCTCGCCAAGGCCCTTAGCCAAGACTGCAGGCTGCTGCGTGCGGCTCAAAATGCTAAGTCCCAGAGTAGTTTGCAGCAGCATTGGCTGAGGCGTGGTCAGGCAGAAAGAGGCCGTGGAAGCTGGAAACATGCTGCTTTCCTGCTCAAAGCACTGATCGGCTTGGTAGCACTACTGGAGATTACCGTCATTGTCGGTAGTCTGCATGCTACTATTCACAATCGCTTGCAAATTCCCCATGCCATTGACTGTGGCGACAAGTACTGATCATTCGATCACAAATACTGACTGAAGCGATAGTGGCGCCGGGAAGTCCTCCGACTGCCACAGTGCCATGAGTGCCTGTCCCTTCTGTCCAGCTTTCTCGCATGCAACGATTACCAGGTCGATGCATATGTCTGATGGAGGCAGCTGCGCCTTGTACATCCATGAAAAGCACTGCAACGCTGCTTCCCAGACTTCGTCGTGCACAGCTGCACTCAACAGGGCACCATAGTGGATGGCGCTGGGCGGAATGAGAAGCTCATGACTCATCGCATGTAGACCATGCAGGGCTGCTGGCCAGGACTGCTCTGCGTCGGCACATATCTTCCCTCCGAAGGTTACAGCATTGGGCTCTCCTCCACTTTGCTGCATGCAAGTAAACACTTGCAGCGAACGTGCCCAGTCGCCCTGCTTCTCGCAAGCACTGACGGCCGTGTTGAAATGCATGGTTGTTCTTCTCAATCGGGCAGCCACTTGTCGCTGCAACAAGTCCAGGGCCCAATTCCACTTTCCGGAACTAAGCTGGATGTTTACGCTGGCAGCATCTGGCCGCACTGACTTCGAGATTGCCTGGCACATGGAGGACGCCGCTTCTCGCCAGGCGCTTTCAGCGGCAATGCCTGCTGCCACCTTAACTTTAACATCGAAGCTCGCACCCAGGCCGACGCATAAACACACGCAGACAGGTCTGACCGAGAGTCACACCACATTGTAAGCAATCAGGTCTGTTTCAATGTCGGCATGCTGCGCTGCAGACAAAATCCTGTGGTGCGGGGTTGGGAAGAAGTACTGTACTTTTTCAGTCAAACGAAACGGACCTGAGAGTACTTCGCCAACGACGGGCTTGGCCGAATGAAGTAATCGCAACAGCATCCGGGATCATGCCCGCTTGACGAACCAGGCCTCGAGGCAGACTCTCTCAGGCCGCATGAGTTGCTGAAACCCGACTCTGCCATGTTGTTGACTAAACCCGGCCTAGCATGTTCAGCGAGCAGTGCCATGCCTGTTCAGCCTGGAGCTGAAGAGCAGAGGTGACGAGAGGCAAGCTTCGACGTAGGATGCCCGCAGACAAGCTGACGAGCGCGATGCCGAACTCCCAACGTTTGTGGCAACCGGCCACTACCTGCATAATGCGGCAGTGTACTTGACGTGGCGAGGGGTTGGCAGGGTCATGACAAAATCATGCAACATCTACCGAAGTTCCATGCACTCCTGGTGGTAGCAAGCAGTGTTTGGCGTTGTCCTCCTAGCGGGCATGGCCACCAAGTTGTCCACAACTGCTTCCCATTTGTCGGCTTGCCGAAGTGCTGCGATTCCAAACGTCCTGTGCAGCCTCAAAGCATCAGGCATACACTGGGCATGCAACGCATGTCGGTGTTCTCTTCATGCCCCCCACCCCCACTGTGGTCCAGCTTGCTTTTGTTGAAGCCAAGGTTCGTGCCTGGCACGATTCGAAAGCAGTCCAGGCAGTCGAGAAGAGCCAGGGTTTGCTGCCAGGCTCTGGCTTGCTCCAAAGCGTAAAGCAGAGTTCTGATGCTGGTGGCGTCCGGTCCACTCCAGGAATCGCCCAGGGCGGAGAGAATGTGCCTGGCTTGGCTCGAAACAGATGGCCTCGACCTCGGACTGAAGCGCAGAAACTGTCCAAGGGGCAAGGAAGAGGTCCAGCACGATTCGCCAGCGGCACAACTGCTCATCGCCACATTGTAACCTATGCCACGGCTTCTTGGAGAGCACAAACTGCTGACGACCACTCCAAAAAATCCCCAGTAACATCGCACCAAAGTGCTGTACGCCCAACAAGCCAAACAAGATCTGTACAGATGCTCTACCTTACGGTCTCGAGCTTTGTTCTCCCCCCGCCGAAAATTGGGCCCGGTTTCCCGATCATCACGGCCTTAACTCTGATCTTCTCAGTTGGATCACCTCCCTCGATTCAATCTCTGGCACGTGGGCCCGTGACAGACTCTCTTTCTGCTGCCTCTCGAATTTGCATCTCCTTTACAGTCTGCCCTACTACCATCCCCGTAGCTGCCAGCGAAGGAGCTTATGCAATCTTTTTGTACGCCGCAGTCTTCGCTGTGCCGGAGCAGCATGAGGGCCCAGCCCCATTCCGACCCAGAAGTCGCGCCCATGGCCTTCGTCTGAATAAGCTGCGCAGAGTCGGGATTCGCTACATGGTACCGTACAGGCGGCGGTGAAAGGCCGAA